TGGGGAGGGCAGGATCAAGAAATCAGGTGATATTCCTGTCAGTGATAATGCTCTGGTGAAAATCTGGTCTGACATCCCATTTCATTGATACAGACAATAAGGCCCAGGCATGACAAGGAGTCCCCCAGGCTCACACAGTTTGTATTTATAGAGCTGAGGTGAAAACCCTGATCTGGTTCCCACTCCAGTGTCCATTCAACCAAAACGTAGTGGAGGTAGTCAGAGGTACCATCAGTCAGGAAAATGAGCTGGCAGCAATATTCCTCCAGAATTGGTGTAAGTTGTTCAATATTACAGACTTTTGTACATACTTCTATATTTCAAGGGGAAGAACTTACTTCCCTAAAACAAAAGCAAAATTAACTCTTTCAATTATAAAAAATAACAATTCTTTTTTTTAAAAAAGATTTATTTACTTATGCACACAAGAGATGAGTTGTAGGCCAGAGATGTGGGGGATGAGAGGATTCACCAGAGACAGAGAGGGGAACAAAACAGGCAGATGGACTAAATGCGGGGAGCAGCAGGTGAGACAGGAGAGGTCTGCCATGCCGTGTGGGTCACCTCCTTGGCCAGGGATCAAACTCGTGCTGCAGTGGCTGTGGCTAGCTCCTTTAGTAGTGCTTTAACCGCTTGCACCGCCAAGGAGGCCTGATTGTGGGTTTTTAGAAAGAGCACCACAGAGGTGGTGGTGCCCATCTCATGGCCTCAGAAGTTCATACAACCACATGATATCACAAGTTACGTGAGCTTTGATCACTTGGTTACGGTATTATCTGCCAGGTCTCTCTATTGTAAAGTGACTATTTTAAGTGAATCACTAATTCCAACCTACCCATAAGGGGAGGGGCAGTGTAGCCCACCTCCTAGAGGGGATAAGATAATTTACATATATTGTTTGGAATTCTTTTGTGAGGGGGATTTGTCCTTCCCATTTATCCAATCATTTATACTTATCAGTATGGACTCACAGTTGACATACACTTTTTTTTACATACATTTCATTACTAGATTTTACCATATTACTAATCATTCTTTCTATACCATCATTTTAATGGTTGCAGCAATTTTTTTTCATATTCCCCAAAATTAACTTCAAATATACACAAATTATGTTGTGATAAACATCTTTTGAAACAATGTTGTATTACTCTTTGTTTTCCAGTTCTGGCATCATGTCTGTAACACAGAACAAACATAGTGAGTGTTCAATAGATACTTGTTTGGGATGGATGGATGAATAAATAGATTCAGAGCAGGCAGGACCCAGTAGTCATTTTCCTGCAAATAGTCTTCTCAATCTTGTCCTGTAAAGATCTCAAGTCTAAATCAAAAGTAGGGAAGAGAAGCTTGAGAACTTGCTGGAAATCAAGTTTTGTCTTCCTGTGAATCATATCTAGTTGTAACCAAACGAAGGTCCTTTGCACAAAGCAAACACTTTGTGCTATTTTCCCATCTTTGTTGGGAAAACATTTTATCAGCTTTAGCAGTTTTTCACATGACTATCATTCTTCTCTCAGCTATCTTTGCAGACACAACAATGACAAATACATAGGGTGTTTTAGCACACATAAATATCATTATCTCTCCCAGTTTATTCCCTGGCAAGTAAAAAGCTGGTTTAATATTAAAGTGAGGGAAGAACATTTGGAATGTTATCTTCTTTGATAATAAGTACTGGGCAAAACAAAACAGAAACAGTTGCAGACAAAATAGCTGAGTTAAGAGAAGGAAAATGAAGACATTTTCAGCAATTCAAAATTTGGGGAAAGTAACCATGAAGAGATTTGGTGGCAAGAAAAAGAGAGCCAGAAAATAATCAGAAGTAAGGTCAGAACAGTCCTGTCCCTCATCCCACAATGTATTTTTGATGACTTTTATTCCCATTAGAGTCAGGGAGGGAAACACATCATATCAAGACCAGAATTTTCACTGAGAGGTTCACCCCTTCCTCTACGGGAAGAGTAGAGTCTGTCTGTATTTGTATAGGAAGGAGGGATAGTTGAAGCTACAGACTCTGAAACTACACACAGTTGAAGATCATTGAGTTAGTCTACAATAAAGTCCTCTGGGGGTCCCTGATCTGGGATGCACAGCCCCTACTGTAAGTAAGCCCTGCAATTATTGACTAGGAAGCCCCAGGGCCAGCTGGCTTCATATTCATCTCAGATTTAGGTAAGTGCACTATTCAGGCTCTTTAAGTTGGAAGAAAGGAGACCTGCTCAAGCTGGTAATAAAAAGCAGTTGTTGCAAAGATCCACGGGGCTAAGAGGAGAAATGACATTCACCTGCTTCAGGGCCCAAGAGACAACCTGAGAAATGGAGCAGCCAGTGTGAGCTGGCTTGGCCAGCTGATCCTGCCAGGGCCTCTTTTCCGCCTAACAACTCAATATGCTTCTTTCTGACTTACTTTGAAAGAGCCTAAGCTGGGCCTTCGGGGGATCATCAGGTCTTTGCAGAAGGAAGCGAGTTTAGAATGATTAAAAAGGACTGTGTTTGACAATGGTCACAAAGGCCATTTCTGCAGTGAAGGCAATCCTTGTCAAGAAGCACCCTCAAAAGATTGTTCCATTGGCTCACCTGTCTCCATTATATCTAATGGCCTTCGGCAATCCATGCATTCGTTCAACTAACTCATGTTTGTTTGTTATTCTAAAAGGGGAAATAGTAAATAACAAGATTATGTAAGACATGCTTTAACAGGGATTTAGAAAGTGCCAAGGGTTCTTGGAGGATGGGTAGAGTTGAATGCAGTCAGGGAAAGCTAGGGTGTAGGTAAATGATCTCTTTAAAGAAGGAAAGATCAAAGAGTATTAAGAAATTAAGTAGTTTAGGGAGTGGCAGGAGATGAGGTTAGGAAATTAGAAAGTATGGCTGTGATGAAAGATTCTTTATGTGCCAGGGAAAGACCAGACTTTATCCCAAAAGGAAATAAACACTGCTGAATTTGGAGCTGGAAAGTGAGATCCATAGTAATGTTTTCCAATCTCCCCACTGCTTATCCCCACCATGAAGGACAACTTGGTAATACTTAGCAAAACTAAAAATTACAATTGCATCTTTTTGTGTTGACCTTTCTGCATTAGAGAATTTTTCCTATAGATACACTTACACCCTTGGGAAATGATCAGCAGTTTTTCGTTGTAGCAATATTTATATTAACAAAGGTTAGAAACAACTTAAATGCTCAATAGGCAATTGTATTGTCTATCCATACAATAAAAAATGTGCAGCTTTAAAAAAGCAAATTCTGGCCCCTCTCTGGTGGTGTAGCGAGTTAAGGCACAACACTGCAAGCTAGCTGTAGCCGCTTCAATACAAGTTCAATCCCCTGCCCCAGAGGTGATTCATATGGCACAGCACACCTCTCCTGTCTTGCCTGCTGCTCCCCTCAGTAGAGTACTTTGTCAATCTGCCTGTTCTGCTCCCCACTCTGTCTCTGGTGAATCCTCTCACTGCCCCTGCTCCTCTGGCTTCTATCCCAGTTCTGTATGCATAAACAATTCCTCAAAAAAGAATTTTTTCAAAAAGCAATTTTTCATGTACTGATACAGAGAAATGAGTACACAAATGTGTATATAGTTTACTACTTTTTTAAAGGTAAAGAATAAATGTGTGTGTGCATACAGACAACTATAAGGATAAGCAGGAAAATAATCAGTGGCCACCGCTGTTGTGATGAAGCACAAACAGGACAGGTGGAAACAGACACGAGAGGGTGGCATGAAGAGAGGTTTGTTACCATTCTCCCATCTTCTCTTGGAAGAGCCTCACACATTGGGTTTTGGTTAAGATACTATTTTTTTTTTTTTAAGATATTACTTTCTAAGGGGCCTTACTTATCTCTACTATAAACCAGGTTTCCTTGTTTTATATATAGACGTGTGTGTGTGTGTGTGTAGATATATATATATATATATATATATGGTATATATATCCTCTTTTCCTTCACAGCTCTTATTACATACTTGTTATGGTGACTCTGAGCAATATCTGTCTCCCTGATAAGACTAAGTTCCTTTCTTTTTAAATTTTGTATTTTTTTACATCATTTTTCATCTCAGTTGCAATTCCCATGAGCTTCCCACCACCAATTCACCCCGTGTGCCATCATCACAGTCCAGTGCACTCTTCCCACTCCAGTTCTGATCCCATTCTCCCTTCCACCCATAAAATATAATACTAAGCTTCTTAAGGATGGGGCTGTCTCTGTTTTGAGACACGGTAGCCACAGTCTACCACAGAAAGTGACATACAGTAGCTACCCAGATATTAGATGAATGAGTAAGTAGAAAGAGAATGGCATGGTTGGACATAGTTGAAAAGTAAGATAACCTAAATTTGTGTGCTAGTGGTAGAAAAGGAACAAGAGATTTATTTCAAAGATCAACAAAATTTTGGTGACATGTGATGGGAAGCTTTATTAGCTGAAAAGCCACTTGAGAAAAAGGAGTCCAAGACAACTAAGTTTTCAAACTTGGGTGGCTATTGGTTAAGTTTTGGGGAACATATATATGTTGGCTTTAGATATATCACCTGAAGATGATTAAGGATCCAAAGGAAATGTTGATAAAGTTGCAGGATGGAGGCAGAGCTCCAGTGGGCCAGCAGGATGAGAGAGGAAGGCAGAGGCAGATGTAAGCAGAAGAGGGAACTGAAACATCTGAAAAAATCCAGATGTGGTAAAGGTAAAGATTCACCTCATTTTAAGCGACAATTATGCCAAGAATCTGGGCACATACATTTGAAAGGACAATGTGCCACAAAGTCATTTGTACATGAAGAAACAAATCTAGAGAATGGAAATGTCTTGCTTATGGTCACACAGCAAGTCAGGGATGACGCATTTCACGCACTGTCCTCACTTGTTAAGTCCAGTTTTCTTGGCATTATATTACAGAAGCCCTCTGAGTTTCCAGACATATCTGCTTTACAGTAAATGCTCAATGCTGTTTCCTGATAGTCAAGGCGGGCAAACAACAAGCAGACTTTCATTTCCTTAGTTTATTAATATGACAACAAACTGTTAGGCTGTACATGAACTACAGCAAGTAAAATCCAGTTCAGAACACAAGTTAGACACACACAGAACATCTCTATTTAGACTCTTGCTCATTTTATATTGAATCAAACAAAAATTCTAAAGTCTTGGCAGAGAAAGTCAATAACAGCCTCATCTAAGTGGAAAATATATGCCTTCCACTCTTCTGCTATGTTTTGAATCTTGTCTCTACCTAGCAAGCAAAAATGTTTTCCCTTCATTTAAACAAAGAACACTTCTCCCACCCCCTTTAATCCAGAAGGAACTCTTTTCAGTGCATTCAAAACTTCCCTTCACAACAGTAGGGGATTTTCAGATACTGCTAAGCTACAAAGTGCTTTCAAAACATCCTATCCTCTTCCCTCTCTCTCCCTACACTCAAATAAATAAATGGATATTTGGACAGTGGTGACAGAAAAGTGTCAGGGTCACTAAAATAGATATGCAATATAAAGGGATAGGGAAGATGGGGAAAAAACAGGTGGAAAAATAAGCAGGATCATGTATAATCGCTGAGCTCTGCTTTAGAAACTGTGTCAGCATTTTCCATCCTTGATCCTATGCTAATATGAAACGGCAGGACAGAGGAATCTCTCTCCCCCAGTGTAGTGTCTTGGAGTAAGGAGCTGGACTTGAAATTTTAGCCAAAACTGCAAGTAGAGCTCACCATTTTTTCAACCCTCTAAGTCTGAACCCAAGGACTAACCTTTAGTGAGACTTGAGTTTTGTAGGTTATTCCCAAGGCTACTTAAAGGATGTACATCTACTCAGCTTTTTCTGAGGCACTGGTTTTCAGAGCCTCCTAGCCAATGGAAGGGAGAAAAACCTCAGGGCATTCTAATCTGCTCAGTCTTCAGCTCCCACGTCTGAGGCACAGGGAGGGCCATTTTATGATCCCACATCTGAGGCAGAGGGAGGGCCATTTTATGACTCATCTCTTCCCTCTTGCCCTGGCGGAGTCTCAGCTCTGGTCTTTACCTTTATGTCCCTTCTACTTCCTGTGAGGCTCTTGATCCTCCAGCTCAGGCACTCATCAGCTTCCACCAACCATGTGCAACTTTCTGTTTAGCTTCCTAGGGCAATACCCATATTAAGTGTTTCCTATTAGCAACAACTATGGAAAGACAGGTAGACAGGAAGAAGTCAGTCCCAGAACAAAACTGCTGTGGACTTTAATTCATAGAGCTGCCAGTCCTCAGAATAGCAACCCTGACCACAGAGGTCAGGAGCTGTTACAACTTAAAGACCACAAACATATATACAGTTTCATCAAAATACACATTTAAAGAAAGGAAGGGTATGTGTGTGTGTGTGTGTGTGTGTACGCACACGTGCGCGTGCTAAAATTAGGAATATGAAGAGGATGGCTAAACATAAGAATATCACTAGTCTATAGAGTTAAGTGCATAATTGGCTTAAAGGCCTTTGTTAGCCCAAAAACAGAACATTCCCATATCCACAAGCTGTCAAATTGTTTAACATCACTAATAGCAGAAAGTTTTTCTCCCAACTTTTACAAAAGAAACTAATACAGAAATCAGCTACCAGGGAAGGTTCCAACTCTGTTGCAGGAAGAGGACACTGGGAATGGACTTGGATGTTCTTTTATTCAGATCCACAATGACCATCTAAGCAAAGACACAGTAGCAAGAGTCCTACAAAGATGGTGAATGGAGCTTCTGTCCTCAACTGAGGATGGCATCGTGGATTTGCTTTAAGCTTGCACCAAAGACTTAGGCTGAATGAAAGGGATCTGATAAGGCCATAGGAGGCCAGGGGCAGCTCTGCCTGAATAAATGCTTCTCATAAGGGCAACAGAATTGTAGCCTCACTTATGCTCAGTATAAGGTTACCAATGGTGCTGGACTAAGCTTTTCTTGGTGGTTTTAAGACCACCAAGTCAGATTGTTACATGTGCCGAGGATATTTCAAACAAGGAAATCGTGGCTGCCTCAAGGCTTCTGAGGATTCATATATGATGCTGTTTTCATGGTCTCAAAAATACCTAACTAAGTTGGACAGAATGCTTGTTACATAGTCCCATTTATTTTGCTTCTCCTCAGGGCACAGTTTGACCCTATTACAGGACTTGGAGAGAGAATACTCCAACCTCCTGTTTTAGCAGCAAAGGAGAAGTTAGTTGACCAGGCCTGGCTCAGAAGCTCCAGAAATGAAACAAAACAAAACTGGAAATCACACTTGAGATGCAGCTAAAACCAATGGAAATGCCACTGGAAATGCCAGCTGGTCCAAAGGAAAGGCCATGGATGTCAGAAGAGTTAGGTCTCATCATGGTCCATCCCCCTGACAAGAGGCCTTGGAAGCTTCATGTAAAGACCATTGTGTCACTTCTGATGGGAATACCTGGCAACTACAAACCATCTTAACAAAATGGACCCAACCAACCTACCAAAGGTTGCCTATACATGGACATTAAACACGTCATATAAAATAATAATGATAATAATTTAAAGAAAAAACACAAGTGGGAAAAGTCCTCATAAGGGTGGCTCAGTTCTGCATTTTGGGTGACCTCAGCCCCTAGAAAGAGGGCCTAACTTTCCTTCTTCAGGTGGTCTCCAGGATGGTGGCCTCCAGAGCCAAGGCTTCAGTCGGTTCCTCTTCGAAGTCTGACATATAGGACTCCAGACTCTGCTTGGTTAGCAACTCCCGTCGGGCTTGTAGCCGCTCACAGCGGGGACAGCGTCCAGACTTGAAACAAGCTTTATGGTAACACGCTTTACACTCTATACAGGATGAGAAGTGAGAAAGAGAAGAGAGCAACTTGTATTATTTCAAACTGGAAGTAAGTAACTGCAATAGCCCCTCTCAACATGCAGCCTGGTGCTCCTGTGGTAAAGCACTAGGAGTTGCCCAATCAAGCCAAACTCTTATTATTAACAGGCTGACCAAAGGGAAATAAACTACCACTGTGCTCAGTATTGTTTGCCCACCCCACATCTGGCACCAGCCTCACCTTCACAGGTCCGGCACTTATGGAGCTCGAAAGGAAAGATGATGTCATCCTCGTTCTGACAGAACTCACAGATGAAGCCCTTGGCTTGACAGAGCTGGGGAGGGAAGGGATAGGCAGAAATATGAGGGGCAGCACAGCAGGAACTGGCACTACAAGGTGACCACAACTGAGGGCAGGGAAAATATGGATAAGACTTAAGTGAATTCTAAAAGGTTCTCCTGCCTACTGGGAAGATAGAGTTGGACTTGGAAGCATGACAGCGAAACATAGCCAGTTGGGCAGTGCCAGGTAACCTTTTGGTGGAGCTAAGAGAGGCAAGAGCTTGAGAAAACCCTATCATTGGAATGGCTCTCAGTGAAGAGATGAAAAGAAGAAAGGAATGTGCCATAAAGAACCTCCTAAAGTCAGTCTGAGTAATGATTTTATTTAGAAATAGGAAGCACAAACAATTAAGAAAAATGGAAAGGCAAGAGTATTTCTCCAAAAGCACACAGCCTTGAGTCAGGTTATTGCAGGTTGTTGCAAAGTCTCCAATTCCCTCTATAGGATTCGCTGTATATGCTCCATTTTTTATCTCTACTTCTAGAACTATCACAAGTATAAAGACTGGGAATAAGATGGGAAATCTTAAAGATGGAATTTTGGGTATATTGGGTCCATCAAGAACAATGATGACTTACATCTCAGTCTACAAAATACTTTCACATAAATTATTTGATCAATCCTCAAAAACTGAGAGGGAAAGACAGTGGAAATTCTCATCTTCACTTCAGAGATAAGAATGTTAAGACATTTAAGGAAACAAAATTATTTCAGGGAAGCAAAGTATCCCCTTTGGTCACAGTGACTGAAAATGCTAAAACCCAAAACCAAGCCCCTCTTCTGAGGCTAATCCATGGCTCTCCTCTCATGTCATGACAATTCTTTAGTGGAGTCTGCTTAGTCCTGCCTGTTACCCAGAGGCAAGGCCAACACTAAGTCTAATTCTAGGTCCTTTAGATCCTGATGATTTGGCTGTTCACCAACCCGGAGAATAGCACTGCCCTTCAGTTTCTCTCATAATATTGACAGGCCATCTCAACTTCCTACAACCAAACAAGAGCTCTGGGTCCACACCACTTTCTGTAACTCTAAGCAAGGAAGCAAGGGCCTAGTTACAAGCTGAAGCAAGACATTCTTACCATGCATCGCTCTACATGGGCTGTCCCTGCCCTAGTGAGCTCTGCAAGCCTGGGCCCCAGCTCCCCCTTCCTAGTTGCAGTCAGGTCATTCAGTGAGTACAGGTGAAGATCCTCTGTCAGGTGGCCTGGAACTACATCAAAGGAATCCAGAAGCCTACAGAAAGTGAGGAGAAATGGGTAGGAGCAAGAATGAACACTTAATGTGGCATAACACACCAACAGTACAGGGAAGAGAAGGGTCAGAGGTAATGAAGGTGGGCAACACGTAGGCAGCCCAGCTGTTCCCCCCACAATGTCAGATATCTGGATGGTAGAAATGACTTTGATAAATTTTCCCAGAGTGAATCATGCCAGCTTATGATAAGCAGAGATGGATCTGCCCTGGATAGAATGATCACAGACTTCCCCTTCCAGGAAGAAGGATACAGACTGTGCTATGGCTTCTCCTTTAACATATTCCCATAGCAAAAGCTCTATTCTTGAGCTACCTCCACCCTCCATTTAATATTTCTGGAATTTTCTAAAGATTCCCCTAATCTTCTTCACTTAACAAGGGTAACTGCTGGGACATGTCTCTTTCAACCAGAGACCTCTGGCCTCCACAAAAGACTGAGTGTTATCAACACAATGGCCTGAGTTCAATCTCCAGCCAGGGAGCTGAACCACATGGCACAGCAGACCTCTTCTGTCTGACTTGCTGCTTCCCTTAGCAGTGTATTTCAGTAAGTCCACCTGCACCATTCCTCATTGTGCCTCTGGTGAATCCTCTCATACCTACACCTTTAGCCTACACCCCACTTCTTCTATGCAAAATTAACTTTAAAAAAAAATTAAAGACTTACTCTTTGGCCAGTCGGCATGTCTTGAACATATTCTTCATGTGATACAGCTGGATCCGCAGCAGCTAACAAGCAAGACATTGTGGTCAGTGAGAAGGGGTGTGGAAAAGAGGAGACAGGCATGTTAGCTAGGCCAGTACCTTCAAATCCTGGCAGTCTGAAAGTTGTGTATGAAACAGTCAGAACTAGACTGTTCTCTATACTGTAACTCAACAATTCACTTCAAAGTGACTCTTAGGTCAGAAAGATCCCTCTTATGGGTCAAACTATCCAAATCACAAGCACAGCTGGAAGCAGCTGTGAAACCCTGAATTAGAATACCCAACTGATACTCTATTCTCCATTTAGTAATATTTTCAGTGAAGAGAAAAATCCTGCTTTCACCAGTAAGTATTGCTTATGGTTTGAGCTGCTATTGCCAGGCACGAGACTCTTAATTAGACAATACCTATGAAATGGCAAGAGATTAAGAAAGTACACAGAAAGGACCCTCCCTGGTGGTGCAGCAGGTTAAAGCCCAGCACTAAGAAACTAAAGCCACTTCAGCATGAGTTCAAACCCTACCTACCCTGGAGGTGATCCACATGGCATGGCAGATCTCCCCTGACCCGCCCGCTGCTCCCCTCAGCAGTGTACTTTGTCAGTCAGCCCGTTATGTTCCCCACTCTGTCTCTGGTGGATCCTCTCACCCCCCATACTTCTTGCCTGTACCCCAGTGCTGTGTGCATAAATAAATAAATCTTAAAAAAAAAAAAAGAGGCCCTCCCTGGTGGCGCAGCAGGTTAAAGCCCAGCACAAAGAAGCTAAAGCCACTTCTGCATGAGTTTGATCCCCGCCTGCCCCAGAGTTGACCCACATGGTGTGGCAGACCTCTCCTGACCCCGCACCCTGCTCCCCTCAGCAGTGTACTTCGACCATCTGCCTATTTTTGCTCCCCACTCTGTCTCTGGTAAATCCTCTCACCGCCCCTGCATGTCTGCCCTGTACCCCAGTTCTGAATGAACAAATAAATAAATCTTAACAAAAAAAAAAAAAAAGAGAGAGAGAGAAAGAAAGAAAGAACACAGAGAAAGCGTGTACAATGTAACGGGAACAAAGACAAGTGAGGTGATCTTGGGAAAGCCTGTATGAGCAGGGTAAAGGGATGATAAAGACACTCAATGGTGCAGCCTTTTCTAGGGGCTTACCCGGACTTGATTGAGCAGCTTGACTTTCCTATAGAGGGCGCTGTTGATGTCCTGCACATTGAAGAGAGGATCATTCCAGATCTTAAGGAGCAGGTCCTTGGAGAAATTGCTGACATAGTACTTGCTGAAGTCCCATTTGCGCAAAATCCGGCTGGGTATGGCCATCTGGGCATTCTCGTGGCAGCACTGACAGAAGTACTTGCCCAAGTACTCACAATAGCGTAGCCGCTTGATATAATCTGGAAAGATGGGCAAGCCAAAAGGTCAGATGTGACTTTCCCATCTGGTGAGGTATAAGCTGGTGAGGCAGCGCTGCTTCTTCTGAACAGTGAGCCACGGGGTTACAGCCACCCATGTAAGCCCCCTAAATAGCTGAAACCCACATAATAGGGCTTGTGGTCTCTGTGTCCCAACTTTCTAAAGGCCCATGAGTAAACACACCCTGCTGTAGTTGGTAAGAACTCGCCTCCAAGATCTGGCTGAAAGTATTCCATTTTCTTCACTATACCTTATTGGTAATGTGCTTCCAGAAATAATTTCCTGCATGCCAATGTACTTCCCCAGTCCTAAACCTAAGCCCAGTCCTCAGACCCTTTCTTTCACTTTCTCCAATTCTGCTCTGTCACATGCTCTTAATACCTCTCTGGTCAGTCCCTCTCTCAACTGTGGAGGATGATAAAGTCTTTGGAGGCAGAATAGAAATCAGGAGAGATACTCACCAGGGTCAGTCCGAATGCCACATCCTGCACAGCGGTAATTCTGCTTGGCCACAGCAATTTTTCTCCTGCAGAAAGGGGTAAGAAAGGAAGTGGGAAATACCAGCTGCATGAGACATAAAGGGGGGATACAAACACAAAGGGGGAATTCAGCTATTTTTTTAGAGTTGGACAAAAGAACCCGCTGGAAGAACTAATACAAGCCAAGAATTAAAAGGTCTGAATTTAAGTTTAGGAAGCAACTCTTCCCACTAATTAACATCTTTCTGCACAAATGTAAGAGTAGACAGAGTAGGGAGAATGCAACCACTTATCTTAAAAAGACAATAATCTCACAAAGTTATTATTAGGAAGAAGGCAACAGGTTGAGAATAAAGACCTTGTTTCCAGTTAATTCTGGGAAGGGATGGGAGGATCGAGTATAAAAATTAAGGACAAGATGGATAATTTTCTCTATGTCTTTCAGTGAATAGAACTGTGCAGGAAGTACAGCTAGAGGCAGAGATGAGAGGGCGAGGAGGTAGTCCTAATAATTGAAAGAGGATTAGCCATTCTTCTCCAAGGCATAGCTACTGGCTACTTACGTTGGGGCTGGATGAACATTAAAAATTATCTGAGGCCGTGGTGGGGCCCACTCCAGGTTGCCGCGAACACGAATACGCAGTTTATAGATGTCAGCGTGCTGCCCATCATCTGGTGAAATGGGCAGTGAGTCAGGGATGGGCAGGAGCTACAGAAGAAACGCACACAGTGAGCTAATGTAAACCATCCAGAGGAACACATAGGCTTGACCCCTGGCCATGACAGAGCACAATTAAGGTGACGAAAGACATTTCAGAAGCACTCTCAGCAAGGGTTTCAGAGAACCTCCACCCTCAAAACAAGCACCAGGCTACTAGACATGAGGGTCTTGAGTTCCAAGAAGCAAAAGGAATAGAACCATCATCCCAGTTTGGTGTCGTGCATTGCTAATGCTGTCCCTGAATGCACTCTAGCACCCTTGCTATTCCGGTGTGCTTCACGTCTCACTCCACTACAAAACTAAGAAGCACCTGAACAATTCACTTTCAAGGTGTCTCGGAGGTGGTCATAACACAGGAGTTCTACCTCTGAGTCTCACTAGAGAGCTGTCATGTGGAATCTCTCCTGTTTTGACAATGGTAGAGAAAACCTAGGCAAGCCAGCATTCATTCATTTAACACATCTGTAATGAAGGGCCTCTGAGCAAAGGTGGAAACACAAAGGCTCATTCTAGCCTGGGGACATGTGACAAAGGAGAACACCATCAGAAAGTCTCAGTCTTCTGGGACTGGCCAGAGAGTACAGAAAATGAGCTGCAACATCTACCTTCTGCGGTGCATCATGCTCTGGAACTAGCCATTCTAGCTCTGAGGCAGCTGGGAGCTGCATGCCCTCAAACTGCTTCAGGAGCCCCATGGCCACTGCCTCCGCGGATGTGGAATGTAGGAAGCAATGGTTGCTGGAAAGGAGAGAGTCAAGGAAAAGTTAGCACAGCTAGACAGGAAGACAGGAGCTTTCCCTTCAGTATCTGACTCCATATGCACTGACTTCTGGGCCGAGAGAATACCAGCAGCACACCCAGTCTGCTCAGCTTTTCCTATCATTTTCATACGTGTTTAGTGAAAAACGTACTGGTCTTATAGTGCTACTTCTAAGGTTCCAACCCCACTTAGTAGCATCAGACAGCAGTGTCAGTTAAGGATTCTGTATCATTTCCTGTCACTAAACTTTAGTTTCTTTAATGGTATTATAAAGTTCAATTAGAAAATAGGCTATAAGCGACTATTGTCATGCCAAAATAAGCTTCTATTTCCCCTACTTAGGTCTACAGTGATGAAACCTATTTAATTATGATCACTGGTCTCTCAACACCTGATCTCTTGGGAGTCTCTGATATCATAGTCTGCAGAGAAGGAACAGCCTCAACCAAAGAGTTGCCTCTGCCAGACCTACCCAGTTTGAACCAATGATCTTCTGTTCTCTTTCCTTGGGCTGGCCACCATCAGGGAGGCCAAATATTTTAATCTTACCACTTGTGAGTCTGGATGGTTTCATCCATGTCCTTTCCCCTCCATATGCCTACACTTGCTTTTGTTCCTCTAAATGCTCCAGGGTTATATTGATATTTGAAAAATATACACACAAATAAAAAGTACTTACAAGGACTGGGAAGAAATGAAGGATTTGCTGTTTGAGCCTGTGTTCCTTCTGATGTCAGCATCTAAATGGAAACCAGTGATAAGTGGAGCAAAAAATGGAAAAGGATAAGGTAAAGGATTAAAAAAGAGTCATTTGAGGTATTGACAGCTAAGTGCTCAGGGTAGTGGTTAGGTGCTCCATTCTACGGGACGGTAAGGAGCAGAGTCCAGATGAAGCACAATTTAAAGTTTGCCTTTGTTCAAGTCACAACCAGGCTGAATTAGTGACATAATGCATAATAACATTGAGAAAATCAAATTGGCTACAAATCCAGGTGGAAATACAAACTCAGATTTGGTACAACACAGTGAGTGAGAAAAGAAAGCATCCTAAGGGACACAGGGACACACACTCTACCAAGCAGAAACATGAAATAAAACACTCCAATCGCCCCCTTGTCCTCTCAAGCTCTCTAAAATAACATACTCTCCGAAGCAAAATCTATGTCCAGTTCTTTGCAGTATCACAATCAATGCCAAACACAGAATTTGGATCATAGAGATAACTCATTAAATGTATATGGAGTGCCCTCCCGGGTGGTACAAATGATTAAAGCCCATACAGAACTGAGGTACAGGCCAGAGGTGTGGAGTGTGAGAGAATTCTCCAGAAACAGAGTGCAGCTCGACAAAGTACACTGCTGAGGGAAGTAGTGGGTGGGTCAGGAGAGGCCTGCCATGCCATGTGGGTCACCTCCAGGGTGGGGAATCGAACTTGTGCTGCAGTGGCTGTGGACAGCTTCACAGTGCTGTGCTTTACCCCATTATGCTACCAGGGAGGGCATAATGAGGATTTCTAATAATGACATGCCTGAATCTCCAGGGACCTCATCCCCCCAAATACTTGAGATGAGGCGTATGTGAAATACACATCCATGGCAAATAGAGCCCATTCATGTCAAGAAAAGATGACTGTTCTGATAAATCTCATTCCTTTCTTTCAATATCCAGAGAAAAGATCTTCTTTTCTTAATTAAACCTACACAATGAACAGTAAATTTATATGACATCACTCTGTATTTGGCCATGAGTAGCTCAATTGTTCTTCATGCTCTGGCATGTATGTGTATATATTTTTGCATGTGCCACTAGATTGTAAAATCTCCTCATAAGGAAATGAAATTGTATCTAGTTCTTCTATTTGGTTCCACAATATATAACACAGAACTGTATACAAGTACATATTCAAATAACATTCCTGACAAATTAATATCTAGAATATCAAAAGCTATATACACAAGAGATAGAACAGAATTTAAATCTCATCAGTTTATATTTATTCTCTAATCACAGAAAAATTGAGAACATCCACTAGTCAAAATTTTTGACTAGTAAGGAACACATCAGAATTTTACTTAAAAATAAAGTTCACTGATGTTGTATTTTCTGTCTGAATTTCAATCACCAAAATACAAATTCCACTACACTGCTAGTTGTCTATACCATTCTAAACACTAGAGTTAGTGAAGAAAGGAGAACAATTCCAGGCACTGGAGGACTGTTTGGTTTGTAACTTTTATTTGGATAACAGTTACACTGCCTGGAATTGCTTTGCCCTTGGAGTCCTCAGAGTGCTTTGCGCATAATAGGCTTTTGGAAAATATTTTCTAAATGAATGATTAACTGGCTAGAAGCAAAGAGCAAATTTCAGCCTGTTTATGCATGATAAGGAAGGAAAAATGAGAGAATATCTTAAGTATGCTTGAATAAAGAGCTAACCAATGTTGTTACTTCAGGGTTAGACTATTAAAGGGAACACTATAAACCAAAGAGGACAGATGGTTGATAATTCACGGTTGCTCAGGAAACCACTGTTGTCATAAAAACTCTTTAGCATTTCTTCACCCTCACAGAGAGAAGAAGCCTTTGTCCCCTTGAGAGAAAAAAAAATTACTCTCTCTCCTTTGGAAAATATATTCAAGTTATACTTTTTTCGTATTTTTCTTATTTACCAGAGGTGCCAAAAGGTCAATGCTGTAAGGCATGGGCTCCCTGGCTAATGAAGAATACTTTCTAGAGTGTAAATGTCCACACAGCTTGGGATGTAAAGTTCTTACTCCAGAAGTGGTGAGGGAGAAGCAACGCCTGTTATCAAAGGCATGGGACAACGGACACTGTTAAGTGTCACGAAGTTCCTGAGATTCTGGGCTTCAGCTGTACCCTGCTGATTCTGCAGTCAGTTCAAAGAGATGATTAACCGAACAGGTCTGGAACACTTAAGACCAGGGTCTAAGGTAGATGAGTAAGGGGGGAAAAAACTATTGAATTAGATGAAGTAAACATACCCTAAGTGAGAGCATTTAGAAAGAAGTCTGAGATCACTTTCCAAATGGAAGTTAATGTAATTATGAAAACCCTTGATGCATTGAATAAACACAAGTATTTTTTTTCCTAAGAGAATATCAAATGCTTCCAATCCTTTAGGTAAGGTTATTACTACTGACTGAAAAAAAAAAAAAAAGGTTAAAAAATATAAAAACCAAAGAACCACCTCCCAAAATGACATGTTGTAAGAAGAATTTTTGCACATCCAAATATTGGGATGACTAGGGAAGAACCACTTAGAATTCTGATAGCCTAGCAAAATCTACAAATTGGTAAAGAAAGTAAGTGAGGAAGAGAGTCAACTTAGAATATACTGGTCTTTTAGATAAAGTGATACCCAACACATTTAGAAATCCAACTTTAGTGAATTTTCTGTAATTGCTGACTCAAGAGAAAATACTTTAAAATGGACAACCACTATTATTATTGTTTTATAAGGAGAAAAAAATTTTATTAAAAAGGGGGGCTGGTGAGAAACATGTGGTTAACTTGAATTGGATAAAACTTTTAAAACTCATCAGAAAATACAACTTACAAACTTTTGTCTTTATATATTGTGCCAGTACCAATTTACTGCCTACCAACTCCAAACCTGCCCTTCTATTTTGTCTCTCATAATAATGCAGCTGGACTAGTTGGTAAATGCTGGTGCTTGCCAGCTGGCACAATATTAAGATTTGTCAGTAGAGGGCACTGGAGAAACACTGGATGAGGAAAGGGTTTCTCTTGTTGGTTTTGGTGTTCTCTTCTAGGCTGCTTCCTGTGAAATAGGTGACTTCCCTAGGGGGAAGAGTGCCTTCAGGCAGTTTACAACCCAGTGCCACTAGTGGTACTTTTCATAAGAGTACCCTTGGCACCTTCTGGGAAAGCTTCATAGCAAGTACCATAGGCCTGGTACCTCCCACAACCCACTTCTTTCTGGATCCTGAGCATGGCACCTCCCTGGGTGTAGCCTTCTACTGCACCCTAGAGAATGGTTTCTGGGTAGGGCTGTTGGCAACCTCCCAAGGGCAGTGTCCCCTGACACTCTCTCAGGCCAGCTCTGCAACTTCTGAGGCACTTGTCCACTATCCAGAGAGCAAGGAGTCCTGAAGCCCAGCCTTGGGGATACAGCCCTCTTCTATTGATACATTTTTCTTCTTTCCTCAGATGCTCTACTTCGGCCTGGCGATAGTATCTGCCACCTATGTCTGCTATTCCTATATTCTCTATATTTCTCTTTACTCTTTATAGGCTAGTTTCCCATTACTTCAGTGCCCCTAATCATTAATAATTCTTTATACTAAATGTTCCCTATTCAAGTTATTGTGGTTTCTGTCTTCTGAAACTAACTAGTCATATGTATTTTGGATATGGAAGACTAAAATTCTAGAAAAGTCTACAAAAGACAAGAAAGAAAAATTGATGTGGTGTGCCAAAGTGTTGGTATTTTAATGGTTAGTATAGCTGCCTTCTAAGAACTGATGAAGCTGTAATAGAAGATGAATGGGAGATGAAGAACAGCAAAACCCTAAAACTAAAAACTGGAAAGACTGAATGTGAATGGGAGTTCATGAATGGTATAATGCCGATTTAGCAGACACCATCCAAAGAAGCAGATGAGGTAAAAAGCCAGACATAAAAGATCACATATTATAAGATTCCATTTATATGAAATGTCCAGAAAAGGCAAATCTACGAAGACAGAAAGTAGATTAGTAATGGACTAGGGTTTGAGATAATAATGCAAATTGTAAATGAGCATGATGTATCATGCTCATGTAATAAAAATGTTCTAAAATTAGATTATGGTGATGATCTAGTAAATTTAGTAAAATTGAAATTTACAAAATTTAGTAAATTTATTAAAAATGGCTGAATTGTACACTACAGAGGGTGAATTTTGATATGTCTCAATAAAATTGTTTTTTCAAAATTAAACAGATGTTGGGTCCCTTCCTGGTGGCACAGCAGTTAAAGTGCAGAACTAGGAAGCTGTCCACAGCCACTGCGGCACAAGTTCGATTCCAGACCAAGGAGCTGACCCACATGATGTGACAGAACTCTCCTGACCTGCCTGATACTCCCCTCTGCAGTTGACCTGCATGTACTGCTCCCCACTCTGTCTCTGGTGAATCCTCTTATGCACTGTACATCAGGGCTATATCCCAGTTCTTGTATGCATAAAAATAAGTAAAATCTTAAAAAAAATAAACATGTTGATGAATACAAAGCTTTCTGTGAATAAGGTTTCTATGACCACATGATTTATATCCACTTTATTACCAGAAGGAAGTAACTTTCCAATGTATTTCCTTTATAAACACTTTTGCTATCAGTATATAGGTCTACTGGATAAATCAAGATCCAAGAAAGGTGAATTATATTAAGCATGTGTATAAATATAAATGTTATATTTATATTAAACAGAATGTTATAGTATGCAGAGTATCATAATACAATGCTTAAGTACTTTAATTTTTCTAAAAGTATTATGGATTATGATGACCTTCCTCTGATAGTATCCCAAGAGACTTTTAAATATCATAATCATTTAAGGTATCAAAAAGAAATGTGTCTGTAAACCCTTGGACATGATCAGGAAGACCGCTAATGAGTATTTTAGAAAGAATTCTGTAACAGTAATAAATGTGATTAAGACCAGAAACAGATGATAAAGAACAGAAAGCAATATACAGAAAGAATAGTAGTTGAGAAAAGTGAATTATAGTAGTTGAGAAAAGTGAATTATCAATTACACTTTTATAATTAAGATTCTGTGTATGGCAGGAAAGTAAAACAAGCCACTACTTTTGAGAAATGCTTGTTCTGGTAGCTTCCTCCCCTGCTCATAATGTGTTGGGATAAAGTAATTTTTTAGCTGAAAATGTTTCATATTCTTGTGCCAAACCTACCACACGTTATTTTAAAAAGCATTAAAGCTTTCAAATGGGAGAGAAAGGATGTGAGGAAGCCCTACCAGAAGTATGTATTATGACTAAAGCAGATTGAATGTACTCTGTTGGAGAAGCCAGTCAATAAAACAAGGAACTGTGGTGGCGAGTGAGAAGTCAGTTAAAAGTGATTTTGGATAACTGCTTAAGAACCAGACTACTTACAACTGGTCAGGAGTAAGGAAAAAGGCACCTGAATTATATTCATTTCTCTAAATCTTTAATATAATTAATTGAGATTTTAGTGGCTGACAATACTAACAGTTAAAATTAACTATTTAGCAAAAAGTTTAGAATTTTGCTGTTGTTACATATTTTAAAGCCACCTGGAGTAGGAACCTGCCACATTCTTTCAGTTTACCCACCTATAGAAAGCTTATTTGGCTCACAAAGCAACTACTAAAGTCAAACACTTGCAGCACTAAATCATAATTACATACAAAGTACCTAGAAGAGATAGCTTTCTACAAGCTGGCTCTGTAAATTTAATCTAAAGAGACACTAAGGGTCACACCATTGCTGTCTGGATGTAACTTAGAAACAGATTTCAACTAAAATTTCTATAACCGATCATTCCTTTCTAGACTGTCCACAATTTCCATCAGCCACTGACCACTTAATCTATAATTATAACTGCATAAAAGGATCAACAAGGACAATCTTGGTGAGGAGGACTGTTGGGATCATATGAAGAAAATGAACACATGAATTGTTCCTGGCTGGCTTCAGTTTAGTTCCTCCCACTGTAACCCTTTAGTCCTCATAAAACTGACAGGTGTCATAGGGTAAAGTGTATACAAAAGCTGGTGCAAACATTCACACACATGCATGTATAAAGCACACCCACACTTCCAACAGGCTACCTGAAAACATGGAGGCCATTGACACTGAGAGTCCACTCACTGACAAGTGAGTCAGGTTAGATCCTTCGCTACCATCTGTGTAATAATGATTATAAAAGGAGGCTCTTTAGTATTCAGACAGGCAGTAAACTGATGAGAATGACAATTCTATACCGCATGCTTCTGGAATTAGGACTTGACTTTTGCTCCAAAAGATAAACAGCTTTTAGGAACAAATGTCCACAAGTCACTACAGTTTGTAAGACAGTTATTGCTGCTTCCCGAAACCAGCCTAAGGCCTCCCTTTTTTCCTCAACCAGGGGAAACTTGGTCCTCCTGCAGATATTTGACAATTTCCAAAGATATTTTTGATTGCCATAATGGGGGAGGAAGGTGAATTGCAACCTACACCTAATGGGTAGAAGCCAGGCATGATGCTAAACATTCTATAATACACAGGACAGTCTAGCACAGGAATGAATTATCTAGCTTTGAGGTAGACAAACTCTGCCTTAAGGTCTTTTCCTTTAAGAATTTCTGTTCTGCAACTATAAACCAGACATTCTTCAAGGGAAGGGGCGGGGAAGGAAATTGGATCAAAAAGGGGTAGGAACAATACAAGGGACTATGGTGATGGTACAAGAATGAATTGGAGGTGGGAATGTCTTGGGGACCATACATGAGATGATAAAGTATACACTACATAAAAATGAAGAATGATGTAAAATATATATGTAAAATAATTTTAAAATGCAAATTATGACAGTAAAATATCAATATTGTGAGATGAAATGTGTTGGATTTAAATAAAAGCAACTCCAGGTCTTCAAAAAAGTAAATAAAATAAAAATAAATACAAATTATAACAGTCAAATACCAGTATTGTGAGATGACTATGTTGGATTTAAATAGAAGCAACTCCAGGTCTTCAAATAAAAGAATTTCTGTTCTGAACTGACTGAGAATTAGCTAAACACACATCTCTTCCAGGTCCATACTGTATCAATGATTTCCAATACAGGTGTATCTTGTGCTACTCCCAGGCAGGCTATTTCAAATGGGACTCCTCACAGACTGACCAACTTCCCCAGGCTTAGGGTTAGTTGCAAAAAACAGACTTAGTGTTAAAAAAGAAACAATAAGTCCAGAATAGAATTGCTTATGCTAAGCTCCATAAGACTGCTCCATAAGACTAAATAGCTAGTCTAATTGTAGTTTCAACTTCTCCCAAGAGTGGGGCTTTAAACTAATCAGTCTAGAATTTTCCTGATCAACATTAGTAAAGTTATCTGGCTAATAAAACCACAGCCTTCCCAGGCCTAAAGGGAAGATAATCTTGCCTGAAATAACCCTTTCTTTTCCTTTGCTAATGACTTCCTTGTCCTGCCCCATTTTGGACAGTAAAAACCTTTCATTTATACAGTTCCTTAAGTGCTCCTTTCTACTTACTAGATGGAATCTGCTTGAATCATGAATCACTTAATAAAATCAATTAGATTTTCAGATTTAATAGAATGAATTTTGTGTTTTATAGTAGTTAAGAGAACTGCTCCACAACCAGCAGAGGATGTTGTGGATTTACCTCTGTCACTGTGCTTCCTATGTAAGAAGCCCTAAATTTGTAGTTGGATAGTCAAGCATGCAAATAGCCTGGTGACCACATCTGTAGCTGGCATTTGAAGCAGAGGCAGTCTCAGGATCGAGCCCTTGATGTGTGTGGAATGTGGTAACTCCAGGAGTTACGGTCAGAGGTGATTTATAGGCTACTTAGTTGACACCAGATTATTAAAGAACTACTGTTGGAAAACTACATAGGAAGAAATAAATGGATTTTAACTGATTATTACTGTCATGAGTAGAAATCAGATACACTAGGAACACAGGAAAACTTCGTAGTGACCTGAAAATTTGTATAAAAATTGTATTTCTGATTGGTGAAGAAACCCAGCTTATCACAGCTAGAGGTATGTGCACCTGAATGGATTTTCTAGATTGGTATAGAAAATTAAAATCTCAAGCAATAAAATTTATTATGAAATAAACATTGTGTTTTAATGGAGGATGATAGATACAATTCACCTCCGAAAGAAAATTACTCTTGGTTTCAACCATGGGGGAAAAGCTCTTATCTATGGCTTTTTGTTCATTTGCTTGTTGTACTGATCAGAGCTTAAGAATCCTCTGACGTGTAGGGCTAAATTGACCCAATAATCACAGGGTCAACTTGATTTTAACAAATAGCCTTCCCAGATTAGAACCCAATGGGGGTTTGTCATTGCCAAACAGGTGTTCATGATTTAACAACACGAATAGGATTTTGCTAAGGAAGCTAGCACTTTATGAACTTGTACTACATCTCTACTTGGTAAATTTGATTTTCCCCCTTCTTTTGCTTTTGTTCCCCCAACAACCCTTTCTGCCTTTTTCTCTTAAGGTTATAATAAAACTTCTTTTTGGAAAAAATTTAGTTGTATTGTGGCATGTAAGAGAATATGATTCTAATTTCACATGGGTATGGGCCAGCCTTCGACTACTAGCAGAATGAATGAGAGTGAGAATATAAGAGAAAGGTGCAAGAAATGCTATGCACCTTACAATAGGTAATAACATCCCACAATGGAGCATGTTGAAGATCCCCAATTGAAAGGAAGGTTCTCAGCCTATGATCCCAAATAGAAAGGAAAAGGTAATGAAAGCTCTCTTGAAATAAATGTTCACTTCTTACCTTGGATTTCAAATTCATCAATCTCATCAGCAGAGCCTGAGTCAGAAAACTGGGCCGAGTCACGTGAACTGAACTGGGAGCTACTGGAAGTGACCCGAAAACCTGTTATGTAAAAAAAAATCTAATAAACAGGACAGAAAGAGGTTTACTATTCCTAAGGTCACATAAAAAAGGGGCCCAGTATGACTTCAACAAAGAAGTAAATAAAACTCTTGTCTGTGAGTGATGTGAGGCAAATGAGAACTAGCTCTACTTGTTGATTGGTTCCATTTCGTTTATTAAATTTAGAATGTTTAATATAAATAGAAGGTACTTCTATCTTGGAAGTGAAGATCAGTGGTCTTTTCTTATATTAGAAACCTAGTTTTTTGGAAGATATTTTGAGGTTAGAAAATGGTTATTGTGCTAATATTTTGGTCTGGTAGAAAAAAAATCAGGATGTAGAAATTTTTTTGACAGCAGAGGAACTTAACTTGATTATAACATCTCAAATTAAAACCAAAAAAACGGAAGTCCATGAGGAAGCAAGTTATATCCTAAAACCTGCAGGAACAGAACAAACAGAGGAACTGACAGCCTTACTTACTTCCATGCTCTGTCTCCTGGTACACAGGGAGCAGATTCTTAGTCCGAATCTGCTGGCGACGAAGGCGGATCTTCTGCTTCAGTTCCTGGATCTCTCTATCACTGTCTTCCTCTTCTTCTTCCCCTTCTTCTAGGCACTGGTTCATCATGTTGCACTTCATTAGCTCAATGGCAGCAATCAAAGACTCTGAGATGCTAAAATGGGCATTCTCCTATAGGAAAGAGAGTATTAAGTTGTTAATAATGGGGCAAAATGTACTGTATGTCTCACTGATTTCAGCAGTCTACCCTTATCCCTGGGAAACATAGTCCAAGATGCTAAAACATTGGACTGTACCCAATCTATAAAACACTGTTTATTCCCATATAGACATAACTATGATAGTTTAACTTATAAACTATATACAGTAAAAAATTAACAATCATCAAAAAAGAGCAATAGATTGTAAGAGTTCTGTGAATGTACTTCTCATCTCTCTCAAGTATCTTATTGTACATATTATTTTTTAGGCCAGGTTGGCTGAAACAATACAATGTTGAAAATTAGAGTTTCCATGACTCTACTCAAATCACCCAAGGGGAATGTATACTTCAACTATAATGAAAACTAGTGGCCCAGAAAAATTGTTCTAGATTCTCTTCCCTCTTGGCTGACTTTGTACATAAAAATGCAATCCTTCAAGATAAAGTGAGTTGTAAGGTATAAAATGCTAGGGGGACATTATTTATACAACCATTAGAACTAAATGTAGAAGTTGACTATGGAAACAGTTTTTACCTAAGGTTCTAGAGTCAAGGAAATAATCATCACATAGCTAAAAGTCAATGCTTCTCTGACCAGGTAGCTTCTAAGACAGAATCAGTAATGTTATTGGACTCAGTGAAGAACAAATGCTCCCTAAAGAGTTCTCCTGAGCTAAAACTTAAGCTTATCTTTACAATGAATTTATCTTTACTGTAGTCTAAATCATGTCCCTGCTGTGTGCCCAAAATCTCTTTAGAACGAAGTGGCCCACAGTCTCTCAGATCAGATCTCTCAATTCATGGACTCTTAGTAACCCCTTAGATTCCTCACCTTTTCCAGATCTGCACAGCTGCCAAAGTCTTGCTCAGATAAGTAGCTGATGAGAGACTGTCCTTCTGATGGTCTTCGGAACATCCCTTCCCCTGAGCACAGATACTGACCACCTTCTGTGGGAAAAGGGAATGCAGATTTGAAAAGCAAATTTGTATGACAACCAAGTTTCTTCAAGAAGTATGAGGAATTTACAACAAAAGATGCTTCCAGCTTTTCCCAGGTAATAGAAGGGTGAGATGTTTACCATCTAAAGGAATTTCTCTGAATCTTAGAATCCCAGAACACCAAGCCTTTGGTTAGAGAATGGTGGAATAAATGGAAAGACATCCTTTTACCATGTAAATTTACAGATGACATACTGGCCCTCCTAGCCCACAAAAAAGAAAACAAAAAACCTGTAATGAGAGTCAGACAGGAAACCAATGGCTTCTGCCTGTGGATGATTTCCATGTGGAGCTCATCTTCTGGTAATTAAGCCCAAACACTGAAGTCTCTTTTCTAGGTTCCTCTCGCCCACTCAGAGAGCCATTCCATCTGGATCAACAGACATACATGGAGATAACACCCACAGCATAAAAGAGGGTGGGACCCGTAAGTTGAGAGGAACAGGAGAAATGGCAGGACAGTGTGATTTCTGCCACAGGAGTTGAAAATGATGAAAGGGAGGGTGATTCTTTACAGTGTGTACCCTCCACAGCTGAGGTGAGCCACGCATCTCAGAACTTAGCAGGCACAAGGGGAGAGCAGAGAAAAGACATAATCGCAGCCCTGACCTTCCTAGTACTCACTTACCATACTCCATGTACAGAGAGCTGGGTGTGCTGACTTCACTGCTTTGGCCAGAGTAGGGCAAAGGGCCTCTCAACTTCGACTTATCACTGCAGGATTCTAGTGTCAGTGACCACCAGGGAGTAAAAACACACATACGAGGTGAGCAACAGACACAGTCCCAAGTTTGGAGTTTCAACATTTAACTGCTCCCACTCCCAATGCCCCACAGGAGAGAAGTGGCACACCAACAGGGAACAGTCCAAGAATGCAGGAACACATGGAGGAGAGGAAATGGGAAATCCATATATTCAAAGGGGAAAAGAGAAATCATGACCCAGAATGGGACAACACAACAGTGAAACAGAAATCAAAATGGATTCATGAATTTAGTTCTCTTCTATCTTCTTACCATGACCTTCCAAATGTTCAAAGAATACAAACTTCTATCCTCTTGACAAACCAATTTAGAAAACATTCTTCAGATGGTAGGACAAAGTCTACTGCAACTTTTCTGATCCCATGATACTAGATTTACAACAAAACCAGAAGGGTTACACTCACCAAGAAAATACTAGGATGTGGCCTCTCTTGAACACGAACTATTAATTTGCCATACCTATATATTTAACACACTTCTGAATTGGCAGAACAACAAAATAAAATCCAGCTATGTCTTTAAAGAAGCATCAAAGCAATACTAAAGAAGTCAAGGATGATGGCCCAGAGCCAACGGGTGCAGTCCCAGAGTTGCAGGTCCAGTCTTACTGAGATGGGAGGGAGTGGTTTCAAGGCAGGCTGGCAATGTAGGAAATGCCTGGGTAAGGGAACAGTGAGACTTGGGAGTGGAGAAACAGCAGCACGAAGTGCTCAGAGTATGTGAGAAGGGAAACAAAATTTCCAGTGCCACAGAAGAAGGAGCAGGCAGAAAAAAAAGACAGGTACCTGAGAAATAAGCAGGATGTTCCAGGAGAGTAAGTAATTGAGCTGCATCCAACTCATTTCCTTGATTGATGGTACCAGCTGGTCAACTGCTCCTCTCAAAAAGTGCCACAGTGGTGTGAAATAACTTTGTGTTCTCCTTGGGTCTCAAAAGACTTCTTGTCAGTGAGCTCTGCTCTATTACTGAACTGAAGACGAACTAGCAGTCACCATTACATCTCGGTAAGAAACCAAGACATTGAAGGGACTTTTGAGGTCCCCAGTCAAACTTACTATACAATACAAACTCCACCACCAGCACCCTTATTCCTTCACAACATGGTGTTCCTGTCTTTGCTTTCTGCGCTCACTACTTCCAGATGTTTGTCATTCAACTGAACAGCTCTAATTCTTGTAATTTAACTTGAAATCTGTCTTCTTATATTTCTCAGCTTCTTGTGATCAATAACCTTCTAAACAATGGTCCAGTAGGCTGGGTTCCACTTAGCTAAGTTAACAAAGCCAGTAGAACTTCAACCATTATCAGGAGGCCATGGTTTCAGGATTCCCTCACCATTCTGTCTTGGAGACACAGGTTAGTATAAAATGTCCAAGAATTATGGTACCCAGAATGGATCACAATATTCAGGTTGAATACCACCACGAAAACCAAAGAAACAGACACTAGAAACAGTCGCTCGAAAATTCTGTGCAATGGCTGGAATGAGGATGGGCAGACTTACAGGGAAGGAAGACAGATGAAAGACAAAGGAAAAAGGCAAGGCAAAAAAACAAAACATGCACCCACATTCAAGTTCACAAAACAGGGAAAAACACATTCTGGTGCTAATTCAAAAAAAGTAAAAGTAATCCACAGTAAGAACTCAATTATAGGAAAAATACTGCACACTGATTTATAATGGTGCCTTAGACAAATTTAGGGCCGCAGTTTTGCTTGACTCTGCCTCCCAGAAGCTGTTGAGAGACTGAATAAGACATATGGAAGTTGTGTGCAGAAAACATCATGTAAAATATTACATCATTGAATACAAACTTCCAAGCATCACAGTGGGCTCAGACTGTACTAAATTTGACACCAGAATGGAAAAGGAGGTTCTGAACTAAGAAAGATGGTCACAGAGGTGAAGAAGGAGGAGGTGGTGGCAGACAGAAAGGAGGACTGGCTCCCAAACCTGCAATGGGATCTTCAACTATAATGGTGATATTCCTAGGGCCTCCTGTAGGTAGACACACAGGTGCAGAGTAGAGTTCAGAGAGGAAACGAGAATAGAAAGAGTAAAAAAAAATAGTGTCCTTTTATCTAGTGGAGGTGGGGACTTAACTCCTGAGAGGGAACCCTAGTGTTGAAGGAAAGATGACTCATATGAGAGGCTACATATGCTCTGTACTCCTCTCTGCTTAGGCTTTCTCTGATTCTTTTTTCCAATGTAGATTACCGTGATTTCTGGAATCCATATGGATTCAAAAATGGGGGCAGGGAGTTTTCATATGCTCCAAAGTCAGTGGCCTGGATTTAGTAAACACCAGGTCTGCAGCAGGAGATGTGATGTGTCTAACTTCACACCTAAGAAAGCTTGTGGGAAGAAAGACTTTGATTTGGAGACTTTTTCCCCCTAAAGATTTCCAATAAATCAAACAACATTCTTTCAGGGAAAAGAAACAAAAGTTGTTATTCAGATGCTTCAGATGAGGGTCACAGCTCTCACCTTTCTGATAATTACAAAGAGAAATCAACAGCAGCTTCAGGGCTTTCAAAGAAGCCCTTTTTGTTTTTTAAGAATTTTTCTGTTTTACTTCTGTGACTCTGCTATCCATACTGGCTTTGCGCACATTATACTTCCTGTTAATGGAGACTCTCCTACAAATAAAACCCAACCCAAAGCCTGCCAAACACCAACAATCCAGGAATACGATGGCAGGATGACGGCAAGAAGAATGAGACCTGCGTTCCCCACACCTAGCAGCTGTGTTTCTGTGACGGAGGCCCCAGGGGCCAGGGCCTCTGACCTGACTGCTTCTCAGCCACTAGTGTGTACGAGGTCATACCACCCCACACTCGCTGTTCCCTGCTTTGATGAGGAAATCCCAGTATCAGTTTGCCATTCCCAGATTGGTAGTATACCCTGATGAGATGTCTCCATTATCACAGGAAGGGAAGAATTTAATGGGATTTTTAAAAGTAATATAATAGTTTATTTTTACATCATTTTGTGCCTTTTTCCATCTCAGTTGAAATCCCTGTGGGCTTCTTACTGGGATTTTTTTTAAAAGCCCTATTAGAGCAGTAGTTCAAACTTGAATTCAGGTGAGCTACACCATCCTCTGATGCTAAAGAACTCATGAAAGCATCTGCTGTTCAGCAATAAATGAAAGAATAAAAATAAATATACTCAGATTTCTGGGTATCCATATTACACTACAAATTTCTCTCTTACATTATAAGCTGGATACCCACCATGTCATCAGAAGTATAACATCTCTTTCTGCCATTTGAAAATCCTTAAGAACAAACCTCCCCTCCACCCTAAATTCAGGAGGACATTAGGGTCTGATGATTATCATTACCTGGGGTTCCTCTAGAGGCAATGTTGGTGTCTGAATGAGAGCGAGTATGGCTCTTCTTTGTTCCACTGGTGGTAGTGAGTATCTGTCCCTCTGAGAAGCTGGACCTACGAAGCACACTGGACGGCAGGTTTTGCCCCCCTCCCTCAGGATCCCCTAAGGAAGAAGCAGCAGAATCTGGCTTCTGGGAGCTGCTGGAGGAGAATAAATTGGAGCTGCTACTCTCAGCATTGCTGCTGTGACTCTGACAGCTGGCAGTCCGGCCTCGGGGGTCCAAGTTGCCAATGGCCAAGTACTCAGGCCCCTCACTGGCATCACTTGGGGAGTCATTCTGGCTGCTAACCCATGATGCTTCTATAGGGCTGGTTAGTGTGCTGGAGCTCATATCATTTGGGGTTGAGGAGGAATCCGTGGCTAACGCAGAGCCTGGAAGCAGTGGTGCTTGGATGGTTTGATCCTCTGCTGGTGAGATGTGCCCTCTGCTTTCTTGTGGTTTCTGGGAAGGGCCAGAGATTGAAAAGGAAGTAGATCTTCTTTCTAGAATATAAAAGTGAAGGGAAAGGTGAATTAAAATCCTTTGATATGGCCCTCCCTGGTGGTGCAGCGGGTTAAAGCACAGCACTGAGAAGCTAAAGCCACTTCCGCATGAGTTCGATTCCCGCCTGCCCCGGAGGTGACCACATGGCGTGGCAGACCTCTCCTGACCCGCCTGCTGCTCCTCACAGCAGTGTACTTCATCGATCTGCCTGTTCTGCTCCCCGCTCTGTGTCTGGTGAATCCTTTCACCCTCCGCATCTCTGGCCTAAACCCCAGTTCTATATGAATAAATAAATCTTTAAAAAAAAAATCCTTTGATATATGTGAATAATTCCTTCATAAATAAGACCAAACTACCTATTACTGGTGCCCAGGATACATGGCATGACCTCAAAATTGGTATGTCACTTAAGGTGGAAAAAATTATTTAGAAGCAGTTAGTCCAAGAGTATGGACTCTTGAGTGAGTAGTTTCATTGCTTATTAGTATGCATTCCTCATCTGTAAAATGAGCAGAAATAAGTAATAACTACCTCACAGGGTCAAATGAGATAATACATGTAAATTGATTACAATAAAGGCACAGGGTAGGCCTCAAAAATGTCAGCAATTAGTACTGAAATGCCTGTTGGCATGTAGATTACAAACCAGGGGAATCTAAAAACAGCTCTTTTCTCTGTTACTTTAATGATTCTACTGAAACTTAGGCTAGTTGCTATACAACTTATGAAGATGTCCGTTACATGAATACATGAATTGTCTAGCTGTACAAACCCACAGCTATATCTATACCCAGCCAGGGAGTAGCCACAAAGTTCTCTAGTTTCCAAAACTGGGAATACTTGCAATGACTAGCTCTTCTTGTCCCCATACCTGAGTCATGATTGGGTAGAGGCTGGTGGAGACTCGAGAAGGACCCAAAGTAAGAATGCTGAGTGTAACTGGTTGGAGGGGTATACGTGGAACCAGGCAGGGCAGTCAGACTCTGGCTCTTTGTCACCAGCAGCGGGCTCTCATGTTTTCTGGCAAACTACCAAAAAAAAAAAGAGGCTCAAAGTCAAGGATAGAGGATGTTAGAAGAGGGGCACCTGGCAATACAGAAGCTGGCAGAAGCTGGCTTTTTGCAACAGGCTTGGGCTGCAGTCAGAGCTTATAGACACAGGATAGAAAATATAACTACCTCCTGAAAAGCAAACAACTTTGCAAACTCAATGTCTTGCTATATACTCAGTTTCTACCGCTGGAATTCTAAGTGGTAAACAAAGAGTGCTTTTTAATGGACATAGTATGACAGAGCACTTAAAACTGCATATAGACTCAGAAATCAAACAGACAAGGGTTCAAAATCCAGGGCCTATCACAAGCTATTTGGTCCAAACTTTGACAAAGTGATTTAACTGCTTTAACTGTTTTGTCCCTCAGTAATCTCTTTTATAAAGTGAGATTAATGCCTAACTTATACAGCTGAAAGGGCTAAATGAGAAGATATATATTATACATGGCACCACACCTGGCATGTAGACAGTATCCCATGATAACTATGATTCAGATTCAAGAATAGGAGAGATAACGGAATCACTCCTCAATTCTAGTAATTCTAGTCTAGCTGAAGCACTCATCATAATGTGAGTGACAGAACTTTTTTTTATACCTCAAGGATAAAAATTATCCTTATAACACTTGGCCATACTAGGTCTGATGCTAGAAATCCTACTCCTGGTTCAAAATTACCCTGACTCTCCCAGCTCTTTGTCAAGCTTCCCATTAAGGAGGTGACTAATCAGACTTAAAAAAAGAGTTGTAAAACTAAACACTTCCCTCTTCGAAAAGACTTAAGCTAAAAATTTTTAGTAGGTATTTACCCAGTACCTCTTTTCTTCCCATGATAGTTTATTTTGTTTTGGTGGGGTTTTGTTTTTTTTTTAATTTTTTTATAACAGTTTATTTTTACATCATTTTGTACATTTTTTTTTTTGGTGGGTTTTTTTTTAATAGTCTCTCAGAAAGCTTAGCCTTTCATGAAATCATGGTGTGGTCCAGCATAGACAAAATCATGGTGTGGTCCAGCATAGACAAGTTCATCATAGACATAATTAATTCCTTGCCCCCCTTTACCATAGATGCATCTATCTGAGCCAGGAGGCGGGGGTTGTTCTGTTCCACTGCTTCCAGGCATTGGAGCATGGCCGTGACGTGGGCGTCGCTTAGCAGGAAAGCAGTATCTGGGGAGAGAAAAGCTACCACTGTGATGGAGCCCAACAGGAGCATCTTTAACGTCTCTCTATGGCCCTAGTAGAAGCTCAGAGAAAGAGAGAGGAAAAAGGTAAAAAATAATTAAATAAGAATTTTGTCACAGTGGAGAGGAGAGGAATCATGGAAAATTAAAGTATAGGAGAGACTAGTAATGTGTAATGTAGCAGAGAGACCACAGCACAAGGCTTCAAAATCAGAAAGACTGAGATTTGAGTCCTGGTTCTGGGTGCCTTTGACCAAGTCCTTTAACTTCCTTGAACTCTGCTTCTCTAATTGAAAATGGATACTAATACCTAATTCTTAGGGTTGTTACAAAGAGTATAATAAAAGTATAGAGTAATTGACATATAGGAAACTATTTACTGAAACAGTAGGTTTTCAGTCCTCCCTGGTGGCACAATGGGTGAAAGCACAGCACTATGAAGCCCTTGGCAGCCCCTGCAGCATGAATTCACTCTCCGGCCAGGGAGCTGACCCACACGGCGCAGCAGACCTCTCCTGACCCGCCCACTGCTCCCCTCAGCAGTGTATTCAGTCGATCTGACTGTTCTGCTTCCAACTCTGTCTCTGGTGAAATCTCTCATCCCCGTACTCTGGCCTGTACCCCAGTTCTTGTATTCATAAATAAATAAATCTTTAAAAAAAAAAAAGCAGATTTTCTTACTGGCTTATGTATACAGTTTGATTGTGCTTTACATGGGAAATAAAAGAAGAATGACTATGTGCTTCTACCTGAAACCTTTATGACATCAAAAGAAAGTATGAAGCATTAGTGAATCTATAAAGGATGAGTAAAGGAAAAGAGAATAAAGAGTATTATCACCTGTCCTAGCTAAGTGGCTTCTACCTACCTGTGTAGAATTTTCTGATGTATTGTCTATCCCCAAGCAGAGGTCGGAGTTGGGCTGAAAGACAATGGCACTGCAAGCTATGCTGCAGCCACAGCTCTGCAACAGCACGCTCGCTCACACCATCAGTGCTGCTCTGGCCATTCTCATGCAAGCTGATGAACTGGAAGACAAGCAGACATGAGTTGAAACACGCATATTCTCATAAATACAAATTGGAGACATAATGATGCTAATTATCTCAGGAAAGAGCTGAGACAGTAAGAGGAGGCAATCAGAAAACAGTTTGCAGCTAGAGGCTCCTGAGAAGGAGAAGGAAGAAAAGGATTACTGGCCCTGCTGCTGGACTGGGGCAGAGAATTGAGCAGTTAAGACCAGGTAGGCAGCTCCAAGAGAGGATATTTGCTACTGCCTCTTTCTCTCTCGGTTCTAACTCTAAAGAGGCATCTAGTCAGAGAAATGATGAACCTGATCTCTTGACTTCCCTTGCAGGTACCTTCTATTTCAGGTACCTTCCAGAAAAGAACAGAACAAAAACCTAGGGAAAAGGACCTAAGAAAAATGCAACCAAAGAGAAATCATCTGATATCTCATTATGGCTCTGAGCACAGCATTCTTTATTTGGAACCTCCTTCTACTGGCTGTTTTTAAAAGTAAGGCCTCATACCCAGGAATTATTGAAAAAAACAAGTATGGATGGCAATTTCAGGAGCTTCTAAGAGGAAATGACCACAGCAATATATTTTGAAAAGGGAAGTTAGAAGAGTTGGGGAAAATAAAATGAGAAAAACAAAAAAGCCTACTTAAAAAAGACATTGGGTTCCAGCCTTTTCTCATTAAGAGGCCATTCTTGTGATTTGATTCCTCGACGACTTAAAAACAAATTAATTTTCCTGACTTCATTTCAGCAATGAATGTGGCACTAGGTAAAATAGACAGCAAACAAAACTGGTCATACATCAAGTATTAAAGATAGATGGTAGATGATTGGGGGTTCATTATACCATTCTCCTTAATTTTGCTTATATTTGAAATTTCCCATAGTGTACAGAATTAAATTAAGACAGACATACTTGGCAGTGTTTATTTTGGAACTGTGTAATTTTAGCTAAGTCATCTGTTTCCCTGATTGGAAATCAGGGGTACTGTGCTGAGCTGAAAGGATAGGGAAGTAGAGTGCTACAGTGATAGCCAAAGCTCTCAGGAGCACTGGACTCCAGAAACCTTACTTTTCTTTCTAACTGGGATAGCCTCTTCTTAAACACTTATCAGGATACCAGCTCCACTTTCCCCAAATTCTTGGATGTTGAAAGCTTTATTCTGTGCTACATATGTAGATCTGAAAATAACAAAACTTCTTCACCCTTCCCCAGAGGAGAGGGTACAATGGGCTTGAAAAGATACATCTTTAAAGCAAACAATCCTCACTTCCAAATCAGTTCTACAGAGATAATTTCCTATCCTCAGTTGACACGACACTTGACACACAACATCCTTTCACCCTAGGACACTCTTCACGCAGAATGTCAACAACAAAGCCTACGGTTACCTTCACTTCTTACCTTTTCCACATGAAGGGCTGAATGGGGACTGAGCCAGCGAATGTCTTTCACAAATTGCCAGTAGTCAGTCTGGCGGCAACACACTTGCTATGGGAACACATAAGGGGAACAAATCATTACCATTTTGAATTGGGTCTAGTTCAAGTGTTGACATTCAAAGAGAGGAAACACACAAAACTGGGCCTTCCCTGGTGGCGCAGCAGCTTATAGCACAGCACTATGAAGCTAAAGCTAATTCTGCACGAGTTCTATTCCCAACCAGGGAGGTGACTCACATGACACAGCAGACCTATCCTGTCTCACCCGCTGCTCCCCTCAGCAGTATACTTCATCAATCTACCTGTTCTGCTCCCCACTCTGTCTCTTGTGAATCCTCTCACCGACCCTGCATTCTGTCCTGTACCCTAGTTCTGTATGCCTAAATAAATAAATCTTTAAAAAAACCACAAAACCTTCCTTGCCTCAACAAGTTTTGAGCAGCAATCAAAGGAATACATACACATATTCCTTAAAGGATATTTGTTTAAAAGTATTTTAATCATCCATTTGAACAGGAAGTACATGCTTATGATAAATATTATACAGTGAAACTAATCTATTTTCTACCCCTGTCTCTGTCATTCAGTGTCCTAGAAGATAATTTTTAAAACTGATCAAGAGTTATTTGTTAAAAGTTAGAGAAGCATTGGCCCTCCCTTGTGGCGCAGAGGGTTAAAGCACACCACTAAAAGCTAGAGAAGTATATTTTCAGTTCTTACTGCAAGCAAAATCAAGTCAGTAAAGAACATATTATAATATTTTCCCCATATTATCCAGGTATTAAAGGCCTGCATTTAGAGTCAAATAAATTTTTAGTTCTAGATAAAATAGACTCAGACTGGATGGAAGGTTGAACAAGACAGCAAAATGTTTCTATCATGAAAATCTAATTCATTTTTGGTGCCAAGACTAGTAGGCACCAAGATTGGGAATATAGAAAGATAGAAGTGAGAATTAAAATTAGCAGTGTCAGATGTTCAAGATCTTTTGCCAATTAGAATCAGAAAGACCTTGAGTACTTGGCAGCAGTAAGGCAAAGGTTCTAGCCTCCGTGGCTGTTGGAGACCAGCTCCAACTTTCGAGGTGTCTGGAGGTAACACAGGCAGGACCCCAAGATGGGAAGACATCGGCAAGCGGAGATTCCAAAAAGGGGAGAGAGGAGTGGGTGCGAGGATGACACGGGAGTCAGGGATGGGTGCAAGTCTTCCTGCTATCCCTTCAGCAGGTCTTTATACTGTGTAACAAGTAGTTAATTGCAATAATACATAGGGTAAGTTAATGAGATATCACCATAAAACATTCTCAAGGACAAGGGGAAAAAGCATTCTCCTCTTAACAATTTATGGTATGCTAGATTATATGTTTTTGTGATAGTTGTCATGTGTACAGCTGTCTAGTTATCACTCAAAGGAACAGGGGTCTGGGAATGGGTGAGCTTGTTAGCAAAAGGTTGTTAGGGGTCTTGGGGTAGTAATAAATTCTGTTAGCAGTGTTATCAGTGATTGTCTAAAGAAAGGCTAGTGGCTAATTTAAGACTAACAGAGAGTAGTTAGTGCTTGTTTTAAAAAAGGAGTAAATTAGAAAATTGTACAGTTGTATATCAAGCAACACCTGTGTAGTCAAGGTTAAAATTTGTCCATGAGTCCTTACGCCCTGGAGCTTCATCTGAGGTTTGCTTTTTTATTCAAAGAAACCAAAGTAGATTCCCAGGAGTTTTTATGCCTTGGGGTCTTCTCTCTCCTGGGGCTTGCTTTCCTCTGTCTCAGGAGACAGAGGAATTTCTCGCCATGGGGCAGCTTGCCTGAACCAGGCAGCAGCCTTATGCAGCTAAGACAATCCAGTTGTAAACTGATGATTGCTCAGAATATTTTGATATTATGATTATACAAAAAAGGGAGGTCATAACATAAGTTAGCAGTGGAAAGTCGATTTTTCAGAGCTTTTCCCGATCTACCTGGAATCTGTCAGATGATAGATGTTGCATAGCTTGTGTCATGGGGCTTTGTGGATACTGAGTGGTCAGGAGTGGGAGCAGTGACATATCATCTCCAGCATGTTTCCTGGTTATGGCATATTTAAATGAATAACAACTGAACTTGGATTCCTTTCTTCAGACAAAATTTAAGGCTAACTCAGAAGTGAAATAAGGAACATCACTACAGATCCCAGAGCCAAAACTCCACAAAAGACATATCCAATAAAAGGCTACTAACCAAAATATATAAAGAATTCTTAAAATATACAAAGAAAACAATCTAATTTTTAAAAATGAACCAAAGATCTTAACAGATACCTCATTAAGGAAGATAGATAGAAAATAAGCACATGAAAAAGATGTGCCACATCACATGACAAGAGGGAAATGCAAATTAAAACAACATGGTACCACCATATACCCATTAGAATGGCCAAAATCCAAAACAACATTCACATCAAATTTTGGCAAGAATGTAGATCAAAAAGCGACTTTCATTGTTTGATAGAAATGCAAAAATGGTACAGCTAACTTTGTAAAAGACAATTTGGCAGTTTCTTACAGAACTACAGACATATTCTCACTGTAGGATCCAGCAATCACACTCCTTGATATTATCCAGAGGAGTGGAAACTTCATTCCACAAAAAAATCCACATAAATGGATATTTGTATCAGTTTTATTTAAATCACCAAAACTTGGAAGTAAACCAAGATGGCCTTCAATAGATAAATGGATAAACAAGCTGTGGTATATGTAGACAATGTAATTTTATTCAGCACCAAATTTAAAAATAGCAGTTGTCAAGCCATGAAAAATACCTGGAGAAAATTTAAATACACATCACTAAATGCAAGAAGTGAATCTCGAAAAGCTCATACCATATGATCCCAACTATCTAACTTAGAAAATGCAAATTTATGAAAATTGCAAAAAAGATAAGTGTTAGCCAAAGGTTAGGGCAGGAGGGATGAGTAGATGAAGAAAAGAGGACTTTTTCAGGGCAGTAAAAATACTCTGATTACAATGGTAAGTGTACATGTCATTATATAACTGTTCAAACTATAGAATGTATAAGACAAAGAGTGATTCCTAATGTGTTTTTAATATTACATTCATAAATGTACTCTTATTTAATCAGTACTCTACTAATAGATGCTCATGTTGTTAGCTTTTTTGCATATTATAAAAAATGCTGAACATTCATGTCCCCTTTTTTTAATTTTATGGAGAGAATTTATAATTAGAAACTACTCTTTACACTTGTATTTTTATATACTGATTTTTTTTTTTCTGTTTTCAAATCCAATATCCTTATTTTTTCCCCTAGTAGATTTTTAGTTTGTGGGGTTTTTTTTTTTTTTCATATTTAATTCTTAATCCAGTTGGAATTTATTTTAGAATATGGGTATATGGAATGCTTAAATCGATCTACTTCTAACTACTCAATTTTCCCAACATAATTCCTGAATGATTATTTCTTTTCCATTTATTTTTTTTCCAAGCAAAAGTAATTTATTTTTAAAGGGCATAAGCCTAAAACAACAATAACAACAACAAAAATAGCTTTTATTTCTTAGAGTAGCTTTAGATTCTTAGCAAAATTAAGCAGAAAGTACAGAGATTTTCTATAAACTCCTTAGAATCTTCATTCATACATGGTCTCCCCGGTTATCAACATCCTATACCCAAGAGATGCACTTGTTACAAGTAATGAAAAATTATTTTTACCCACAGTCCATAATTTATTAAAAATTAGGTACTTCTGCAAATGAAAACCACCATAAGAACTATCAAAAGACAAACTAGAAAAAAAATTTGCAATTCACATTACAAAGAACTGATTTCTTTAATAAATAAAGAATTCCTAAAAATCAGTAGGAAAAGACTAACAATCTAAAGAAAACGAGGGTTGGGCTACAGATAAGAAACTTCCTTCATAGGAAGTTTCTTATAGATGTATTTCATTGTAAGAGAACTCTAGCTTTTTACATAACATATTGGTGACAGTTTAAAGTTTAGTAATACTCTATATTGGCAAGGATATGAAGAAGCAGATACTCTTATACACTGCTGGCAAGGTTCTAAGTAAGTATAATTTCTTGGAGGGCAGTTTAGCAATAGCAAACAAAAACTGGAAAGCATATGCCCTTTAGTGCAAGAATTGCACTCCTAGGAATATTCTATTTTGCAATGGGCAAAATGACCTATATAGAAGGCTATTCACTCACTATAGCAGTTCTACTGACAGCAAATGACTGGAAGCATTTTAAATGTCCTTTACCAGGAGACTGGCTAAATAAATTATGGCACATAAATACAATGGAATATTATAAAATGACAGCTATAAAAAAGAATGAAGCTCTTGTATGTAATGATTTGGTAAGAATTATAAGATATACCAAGTGGAAAAACCAAAGTGCAGAATAGTGATTATAATATGCTTTTATCTGCATGAAAATTCAGGAGTACTAATAAAGAAAATTATTCATAATACTTTTATGAGGAAAAAATTCTCTGGAAGAAAGTTAGTAAACAGTAGCTACTTATGTGCTAGTCACAGTAGCTTACTGTATACATAGAAATATATTTTTTGGGCTTTTTGTTAACTAGACAAATGTACTGTCTATTTTTAAATTAAATATAAAGTGATAAATACAGTACATTTAATATTTTTAAATACACGAGATATATAGAAAAAAAGAGTAATAGATTTACCAGAATGTTAAAGAGCGATTGTTATTACTTGATGTTAAGATGACAGGTGACATGTACTTTCTTCTAAATTCTTTTTGGTATCTTCCAAACTTTTAATAAATAAAATGTTACTTATATATTCAGAAAAGAAAAATACAGGGATATTTCTTGCTAATATTGTTATTTTTGAACTGAACCACGTATAGTGCCAAGAATGGATTTCTTCTTGATGGTAGAAAAAGAGGGAATCCTCTCGCTAGCTAGAAATCTCAGGAACTGAATGAATCCACATATCTAAGCTGCAGAAAAGAATTTTGTCATATATTTCTTGCCTTATGGAAGGTCTACAAGGTAGTCCAGATGGAGGCTGTCAAAGAAAATGAGATACGGTTTTGATCTAATAGCTTTCCTAAACCCCTATATGAAAAAAATAGAGTTCACATTCTATAGTAACCTTCTTATGAAAGCACAGAAGAGATATGCCCAGCATGAATATAAGCCCTTCCCCCTCTGCAAGGGCACAACACTCAGAATAGCTTTCTGATGACACAACAGCCAGAGCCTTTGAAAGCCTTAATCTTTAGGGAGGAAATGAAAAGGCAAAACAAGTCTTTGACACACAGAGTTTAATTTTTAGGTTCTTATGAAACAAACACAGCAGCAGTGAAGCTAATATAGATCTTTTGGTTTTGACTCTTCTCACTGGAGTCTGTAACTGTTAAATATATCTGTGCATGACAGACTTGGCTGCTTTGCTCTGCTTTCACTTATTAACACTATTATTGTTTTGTGGATTACCATATACGTTAATATTTTTTGTTCTGGTGAAAAGTGCCTCCACAAGAATCATCACCACTTTATAAAAATATATTAATATTACATTGCATTTACATAGCATCTTTCATTTGAGAATTTCTTTGACTTTACTATTCCTCCTGACACATTTTCTCCTGGCATAGGTAGTAAAACTGTATTGTAATCAGGCTAAATGATTACTCTAGATGATAACGCAAAATTAATAACATAGTGAAGAAAAAAAAACCTTTGCTAGCAAGCCACAAGTACTTTAGCCACTAAATGGCAATGCCACTAATCTGGTAGCTATTTTGATCATCAGCCTGGAAAGTCTGTACTGAGATTTTGTAAAACGTGTTGGCATGACTCCCAAATTTCTGGCTTGGGAGACTTAGCAGTTGGCAATCACAGAAAATATCAGGAAGGAGAGCAATTTCATGAGAGAAAATAAGTTTGTTTTAGGTCATGTTGTGCTTGGCGTATAGAACACAGAACTACATGATAACTTATGTAGACGCTAGTCTTACGGATCTGGAGTTCAGCAGACATGTCTGAACTAGCAGGGGTAGGGTCATTAACATATGAGTTATAGTCAACACAGTGCAAGTGAAAAAGACTTTCAAGGAAATGTACAAGGTAAGATGAAATAAGCACATAATTCAGAACGCCATTAAAACAAAAATCCAAGAGGAAGAGAATCCAAGGAAGAAGTGGTCACAGAGGTAGGAGAAAGTATCCACAACATCAGAAGAACAACATCAGAAGAAAATAATCCCAATTTTTTACAAATTAAGGTATGATGATTATCAATAGCAACCTGCTAATGCTAAAACTAGAAGTGTTCACTGGGTTTAGTAACATGAATGTCATTATTTTATGCAAACTTCAATAGTAATATTACCAATGGGAAGGGTAGATAACAGACTGTGGTGAGTTAACTTGCTTTGCAAATTCTAATGGTCATAATTATTTTTATAGGGTTACATGTCATTTAAAAGGAACATTTATTAATGACTTCCTATGTTCCACAAAGTAATAGTACTCTCATTTTTACAGATGAACTATCAAGTTCATCGGCAGCCACTACAGCACAAATTCAACCCCTGGCCAAGGAACTGAACTCTGTGGCAAAACAGACTTTCACCCACTCCTCCCCTATTTCAGTAGTTCCTCCTGGTCTACCCCCCACTCTGTCTCTGGTGAATCCTCTCACCCACAACACCTCTGACCTACATCCAGCTTTTTTTTTTAAGACTTATTTATTCATGCATACAAGAACTAGGGTACAGGCCAGAGGTGTAGTGGGTGAAGGATTCACCAGAGACAGAGTGGGGGAGCAGAACAGGCTGACTGATGAAGTACACTGCTGAGGGAAGCAGCAGGCGGGTCAGGAGAGGTCTGCTGTGCCATGTGGGTCACCTACCTGGCAGGAAATTGAAACACGCTGTAGTGGCTGCAGATTGCTTCATATTGCTGCACTTTAACCCACTGTGCCACAAGGATGGCTCCCTACACCCCAGCTCTTATATGCATAAATTAATAAATAAATCTTTTTTAAAAAACCTAAGTAATACGAGTGACTGACTGTTGTTTTCTAGACATTTTTCATGTATTATCTTACTCAGTTCCCACAATAATCCTGAGATGGGTACCAGAGTTATCTCATTTTAGAAGTGAGATGCCAAGAGGCAACAAGAGTTCTATAACTTACACAGTACCAAGTAGTGGAGTAGTGGTGAAGCTGAGATTAAACTGTGAGCAGTATGATTCAAAAATCCATAATTTTAACAACTGCGTCATTTTATTTCCCAAGGAGTTAAGCGATGAGTCTGGATTCTAATCCAGGTTCTAACTGATTCCAAAGATTCTGCAATCTGCTATATACAATGTTGCCTCTCAGAATGGTGTTTTAATAAGACAGCCATTAAAAATTCAGTTCTTAGGCCCTCCCTGGTGGCGCAGCGGGTTAAAGCACAGCAGTGAGAATCTAAAGCCGGTTCCGCATGAGTTCAATTCCCGCCTGCCCCAGAGGTGACCACATGGCGAGCCAGACCTCTCCTGACCCGCCCGCTGCTCCCCTCAGCAGTGTACTTCGTCCATCTGCCTGTTCTGCTCCCCACT